GTGGTGCTGAGAGGTCTCTAGCTGACAACTCCAGCTGGAGTAGTCCCTTGCTTTACTGCTAGGTCTTCCAGTAGTTCTTTTTCAGAATGATTCTCAGAGCTCAGTGAGGCCCTCTCACCTCTCCCAGCACTGATGTCTTTCCTGGGGGAGGAACAGTTGGCTGGAGCCAGCCCCTGGCACCTCTGTTCCTGCAGAGAGACTGTGCTGCTGCTCTTGGGTTTGGGCTTCTGTGCTGGGGGAGAGGGATAGGGAAAGCTGTATGGCACATTACTTCTTGGTTTCTGTACTCATGAAGTGGGGGAATGGACAATGGGGGAGAATCTGTCTTTATGACCCCTCCCCAGCAGGTTGAGGCAGTGACCAGTAGGTCATTTCTCAAGGGTTTGTGCTGGCTTGGTCCTAGGAGAGCATGTCCTGGGCTGGAGCAATGGGGGAATCATGGCAGCGTGCCCAAGGGGTGAGTTTCAGAGCCCGAGAGCTCTGGTGGTGTGTTTTGTTTATGGATGGCACTAGTGAGAGAGCTGGCAGGCATGGTGTCCATGGGCCTGACCTAAGGGGGCAAGGATTTGCAGGAGGTCTCTAGCCAGTGGGCAGTATGATTATTAAGAGGGCCAAAGATAGGTTTTAATAGAGGTTACTCGAATTCAGGGCCAGGAAGGTCCAGCCTTCTGCTGAGCAAAGTTGTGTGACACAAGTTCTCTTGAATTCGGTGAACTTCTCCCAGGTTCCCCAAAAACCAAATCTTCCCAGCTTCAACCACAACCAGTGAGTTGAGAATAATGTTTCCTAAAGCAACTAAGTGATCTACAAGCTGAAATCATACTGATACAATCTGTACCTGTTTATCAGTCGTGTAAGAACTTTTGGAAACATGATTCACAGCATTTTCGAACTGCATAAAACCCAAGAGACAGTTGGCAGAGCCAGCAAGGCTCCTGGGCAGGAGCATGGTGTGGCAGCTTCTGGACTTGCATTCTCTTTCCCTGCTGCCCTGACCCAACTGCTTTTAACACTCCTGGTACCTGCTTTCTGCTTTACTAGTGCTCGTGAGTTCTGTTCATGTCCACCCTGTGTTGCAGATGGAGTGAGGCACAATCCTGCTTTACAGAGGCTGTAGCTGATTTAGCTGTGCTCGCAGATCCTCCCAGAGCTGAGACCTGCGCTTATGGAACCACTTGCTTCACTGGGCTGGCAGCGGTAGGCAAACACTGGTGGGGCTGGGAGGATGATAAAGTGAGTTTTAAGCAGTGCTAGGAAGCAGAAAAGAGCCTGCCAAGAATCCCAGCCCCTGTGCTACGAGTAAGTGGCTCTCTTAATTTAACCAGTGTGCTGGATCAGGTCCTGAAGTTAGGGAGTGGCAGCAGTTGAGGGGCAAAGCTGAGTGTGGCAAAAGGACCAGATCAGCACCAGCCATGACCCCAGACAAGGCTAAACAGTAAAATCCTGGCTACCCAAAATTCACTGATAATCCTGCCAGCAGTACTGGTGGGGCCAAGGAATTTTCCAAGAAAGGTCTTTGGGCAGTGAGTGAAGAGATGGTTTTGCCTGGTGAAGTGCATATACATCATCCCCAGTACTGAATTCACCATGAGCATCAGAGGCATAGGTGGGGAAGAAGTCCTGAGGTGAGTGGTGGGAGAGCAGTGAGCACAGAGCCTGCAGGTCGCCTTTCCCTGTCTGCTGCAGCTGATCAGTTTGGCATTATAACCACACCTAGCCTTGGAGGCATCTGGCACGGAGACTGAGACAGACATGGGCACACTTAGGACATTGTCCCCTGCAACCCCAGATGTGAAAAACGCTGCTCCCAAAGTTGTTTTTTTTCTGCCTGGTCATAATCTTCACCTGGAACCCTGCATCTGAACACCAAAGGACTTCTGTTGCAGACCAGCCGGAGAACAGTAGCATGTTACCAAAAAAAAAAAATCTTCAATAGATACTTCAAAATCAGCAGATACTCAGCATCTCTCCAGAGATCCTGTTTCTCTCCAGTTAACTGCCCAAAGCTTCTCCAAGACCTGCTGCATCATTTCCCAGCTGCAGGATTTCTTCAGTGCAGCGAGATGGCCTCGGGTACCCACTGATCAGACCTGATGCGCGGGGAAGCTTGACACGGACCTGGCAGTGGGTTTTGAATGTCTCCAGCATCAGACTGAAGCAGGTCGTGCAGCACAGCCCCAGACCCAGCTGGGCCGCGGCTGTGCTGGGCGCGCGGTGCCTTAGGCCGACGGTGTCGTAGCTCTGCGGTGACTCCAGGCTGGGCTGGTGTCAGGCAGGCAGGAGGCTGCTGCCTGGGGAAAGAGCGTGGCCCAGAGCGATGCCCTGAGTGACATACTTGAGGATAGGCTGGAGGACCAGTTCACTGCAGTCTTTCCTGAATGGGTCTCCTCCCCTTGTTCTTTTATTTGCATTTTTAAACCAAACTCTATAATCGTGTGATTGGTTTTTTTTTAAATTAATTTGCTGTCAGAATTACTGTCTCTTCATAGAAAATTGAAAATAAAATACAGTATTTTCCCCCTTAACTCTGAGAGTGGTCTTTCCTTAAGCAGTTTGAGATGCCAGTCTCTGTCAGTGTCCAGAGACTGTGTGTCCCCAACCTGTTGTCCCTGGACATCTGGTCTCCCACTCAAGTGGGAGACTCATGCATGGACTCGTGCATGTTTCAGAAGGGCTCCTTCCCTGCTCTCTGATAAGGGAACAGGCTGGGACCCTGCTGGATTTGTCTTGTTCAGTGGATTAAAACATAACCCAGCCTTTGCAGGGTGACATGACAGTGTCACCTGCCTGACCCAGCGCCACCAGGGCAGCAGGCACTTCCAGCATCCTTCCTAGCCTATGGCTTTCTAGGGCCTCACCTCCTTAGCTGAGCATTGCCAAGGGTAGTCCACTAACAGGGAACTCAGGCTGTCCCCTGGTCCTCTGGGCCAGTTAGAACAAGCTCCTGCTTGATTTAGGATTTGGACTGCTCCAAATCCTAAATCAGCCAAAGTAGAACTTCAGTTTCTAAGTCTGGCCTAAAAAGGTGTAAAATCTGGGGAAGTCCAGAGCCCAGTGATGAAGAACATGGTGCGGAGTTTTTTTCCCAATGTAGGAAAAATCCAGCCCTCTTGCCTGGCTGTGTAATTTTTAGTCCTCGCACTGCTGTATGGGAGCTGGAGACTCTGAGGCAGAATAAAGGCCCCATGTGCCAGGTGGAAGATAAGAGCTAATCCCTACTTTGAAAAAAGCATCATCTACATAAGCAAGATGATGCAGCCAAGTCCCATCCCATCTTCTGAGCACAGATCTAAGCAACAGAGAGCTTAGCTGATTTCCCCACAGGCACGTCCCAAGCTTCTGTTCCCCCAGGATACCTAAATACCCAAATCAGCTGTTCTCCTATGTTAAAGAGATGGATTTAACCCAAAAGGGCTGGCTGGGTCCTGAAAACCAATCATGCAGCCCACCGTTCCTCAATAGCCCAAGGGGAGAGCAAGTCATCCGCTGCAAATATTTATTGACAGGAATACAAGGGCGCTGTTTCAGGGCGCTGGGGGATTTGTGTCTAAGCCTTCAATCATACCATGGGTACTGAGCATTACATCTCACTGGGAACAATCACAAGCTTGATCTTGGCCAAGAGCTGGAGAAGCCAAGAGTCAGAATTGCCCACCCATGCTTTTCCAGCAGGGAGCAGAGCACACCCCACCCCAGGAGCAGCCTGCATGCAGCCCCATGGTATCTTGACCAGCAAATCCTCGGGTTTACACCAGCCCCCCCGCCTCCATTTTACTGCACCATCTCTGCAGAATTTGGTAACACATGATAATTTGATAACTCCCTATTAAATGTCTCCAGTGATGCAAAGAAGATAAGATTTTTCATTACAAATACCCTTGAGTAGTAGGATGCTTGGCCCTGACCCTCAGGACTGTTTTCATGGACCTGATCCTTCTCCAAGCAACTCTGCTCAGGGCTTTACCAAAAGCCCATTAACACAAGGACCTTCCCAAGGAGATGGAGGGTGAGACCCCTTGTTTGTGGAGTTGACTTATTCATCTGGTTGGCTCAGCAATTTGTTCATTTGGAAAACTATTTTTACTCATCATGAATGACTAAGCACGTTGTTTTGGGGGCTGGTGGCTTTTCCTTTTTCCGCTCTTTCTTGGATTTATTTATTTTTAGGTTTCTTTGGGAGGGAAAAGAAGTGGAGTGCAGACTGAAAGCTCAGAGAACTGGAGACAGAGATCAAAGGAGAGTGAGAAGATGAGATTTACCCCTCTGAGTCTCAGGCCACCTTACTGCTTATGGAATTTAACAACCTATTGAGGAATTTTATTGGGGTAATTCAGGAGGCTGTGGAAAAGAAACCAGCAAGGTCAGGTTCTGCTTATGGTTTTCTGAACAGCTTGAGTAGGATTTGAGATGGAAGACTTTCTCACGGGTCTTACAGTGCTTGATTATGCTACAGCCGACATGTCTCTAACACGATTACAAGAGAATTGCTTTGGGGCAGGAAACATCTTTCTGTTCTGTTTGTCCCATGCTTAGCACAAGGGGATGCCAGCCTTGATGCCACAGTAATGCAGGCAATTATTCATACTCACCCCACCTTTTATTTGAAAGAAAAGTAGTCCTACACCATACGGTTGAGGACTTGCATATATGACCTTTAAGACCCCAGAAAATTGAAGGAGGGTTAAAATAATGCAGAATGTTGAGAGGTTTTATTCCTTGTGTCATTATTTTTTATGCAAGTTCCCTAATTTTGAAGGGTCACGTGAATGGTTTTTGAACTGGTGATGCTGCCTATGTGCCGTTTTGATTCACATAACAAACCTCTCGCTGCTTGCACTTCACATGGAGAAAGATGATGAATCACCCACCCAAAGACCAAAAAGTGCTCCGCAAACTGTAGGGATGACCTGGTACCCAGAGAAGAGAAGAAGTAGCCA